GTGGCATCTGCCTTCTTGGCGAGATGTCACCTCTTGGCGAGATGCCAGTCACGTGATCTTCGCCCCGCGATGATCATTCTGCCCGTTGGGATCCCTAGTGGTTTCTCAACCATTCACCGTCATACCTAGGGAGAGGATCCTTCCTGCTGTTACTTGTAACATATACCTAACAAATTAGGCCTTCTAAGTTATGAATTATGTAAATTAAAGTTAACGAGTGTAGAGTAATATTAAAATACTGCTACAAAGTTTAGAATTGGAAGAAAGGTAGTATAATATCTTAGAAAAGAGTGTATATATTAATTAAGACCGCTCTAACCTACGCCCTACCTTCGACCCTTCGTGATCTTCCGAAGAGTTGCTAATAATAGCTAGAATCGAAAAAGCTCCCATATTCCTACGCCGCTGTAACTTCTATCCTGCGACCCTGAGAGTGATCCCTCTACCGAAGCGATGTAACGCGCGTAGTTGTTGAATTCAATCTGAGGAGCTCCAGTGGTAACGTTCGCCGTCAAGATATCTCCATCATCTAGCTTGTAGTATACTTCCAACCCTTGTGCTCTTCCGGTCGTGTTTGTAGGTGGGTAGGCACTGTTTGCACCCCACGGCCTAACAGAGTGTCGGCCTTCCGCACAACTCGCGAGCTGTAAGACACCGTTCTTTGACACGTATCCAGAAGTGTATTCGTGACCATCGCGCAGCATCGCATCGAACCAGACAAGCGTATAAGGCCCAACGATCGCATGGCCCCAGTACCAGTTTTGCACGATCGATGCGAACGGTACGTCACCCCAATTCTTATCGTGGTATCCGACACCATTGTATTGTATCTCTTCGCCGCGGAGAGTAAGGGAGACGACGGCATGTGCACCAGGCAAGATGTTCGCCCAACCAATGTGCGGTGTTATAAGCTCGGTTTCACCGGCAGACGAGTTCGTGCCACAGGGAAGGTGACCTGGTGCGGTCTGGATGTTCTATGTCAGTCTCGACTTCCATCTTCCAATATTCGCATCAAAGGGTCTGCTTGACTTACACTTTCAAAGGTAATGCTACCGAAGATTTCATGCTTAGCATTGTTGATCGAGATCGTATACTTTGTCCCGCCCTCGGTACCAGCGAACCGGAAACCGGTCGTCTCCCAGTCGCCGTAAATCGAATTTTCAGAAGTATTGATCACTGCGTTTGCATTCGCAGATGCATCCGATTGTATGTTGTATACAGTACCGTTCTTCATCGTGCCAGTTACCTGCACAGATAGAGTGTTCTCGGTCGTCACATTACCAAGGAAACCGGTAGGGCCGCGTTCGAAGAAGACTACTGTGATCGTCTCGTTGGCGGACGAGGTCGAAGCAACGTCAAAGTACCACCTAGAAGTCCGAGCATTAACAAGGGATCTTGCGAGGATCTTTGTGGAAGGTCTCAACAGGGGCTTCAACTGACCAGTCAAACGTGGAAGCGTTGACGCCTGGGGATATTCTTGGTCTGTCAATGTTTTCACCAGTTGACACAAACTGTGCGGATATTGGGCCATCGTGCAGCTTGTTGGGGAAGTAGGAAGTGCTGGAAGCTGCATTCGCTGAGAGGCAAAGAGTAAATGAAGCAAAGAGAAGTGACTTGGAGCGCATGATGATAGAAACTGTGTGAATAATGCAGGAAAAGCTGAAACTGCTGTAATAGGATGAGGAGGTCTTCAGGTTTCTCTGCTCATCCTTTATATGGGAGTTCTAAGTTACATACTAAAAATGAGATGTGAACTCAGTCCGAATGAAGCTAGCAATGTGCAGAGTCGTGAGGACCAACACGACAACATTGAGGCCCCCATCGCACGCGTCGCAGTGCTGAACCTCTACACAGCCACCTGACAGCGGCTTAGAGAGAGAAGTGATTCGATTAAGTATGGTGTTGCTCGATGATTGGGTGGGCAACTACTAAGCTATGGCTGTGGGCCTTAGTGTGGAAGTGGTGACCAGAGCGTTGACCGCATCCGGTAAAGTACCCGCCCAAGTGAGATTGAATCTGTCGGTTCGAACGTTCTGGAGCATCAGGTGGGAGTGCCCAAGCCTTATCAACGAAGTCATCGTTCCATGTGTCTTGAGTGACTTGGTACACCTCGCCCATTCAGTACTGACAGGCGGTGATGTAAGAGGAAGTCAAGACAAATCGCTTCAATCCTGGCTCCTCGGCAGCAGCCTCAAGGGCACCTATTGTCAGCGCTATCGAGCCCTTGACAACGACCTCGGGATCTGGCACAAAGCTGTTATCGACAGCAAAGTGCACAAAGCCAGCGCACCCTACACGTTCTTGGCTTAGCTGTTTTTTTGTATTTTCAGGAAGGTGATGAATTTACCTTTGACAGCTACATCGAAAGCCCCGTCGGCCGTTAGATCGGGGACTTGGACCATCTCGAAGCGCCCGTCAGGGCCATACTTTTTACCGAAAAAGGACTTCACATGCTCGCAACGCTCGAGATCGCGCACAACAACGCGGACCCTGTAACCCTGCTGGATTAGAGTGTTTGAGAATCGGCACCCCAGGTACCTGTTCGTGCCCGTAACGAGAATGAGCGAGCCGACCGGAATAACCGCGGCAGGTTCAAACCGTTGTGACATCGTTCACAAAAGTGCTTTAATGGAAATCTACTCAAGTGAAAGTACCGAGGTAACCTGTGCAAAGAGAAAGGCCATCGAAAATTATGATAAACGAAAAATACGCCCCTTACTCTTGCGTCCAATTGTATGTCAAAGTACAACAACACATGGTGAGAATGTGGAGTAGGCTCTGGTACCTGGAGCCTATAGGAGTTCCTGGGCGATCCCACAGAAGCTAATCACCAGTATCGGCGAGAGATCAGATCAGTATTGCGTAAGGGTCTCGGCCCAGCAAGTAAAGTCCGCTACAAGAGCGAGCGTTACGTATTCGGTCCATCTTGCGGGAAAACCACGTAGCGAGGTTAAGGCGTCGGGTTGTTCCTAGCCCGGGGAGCCCGCTCCCGCTTCCCCCGTCAGCCGCAGAATCAGCATTAAGCTGGAATCCGACGATAGTGGTACTTAGAAACAAAGGTTACCTAGGTACATACTCTGTGGATTGCTCTTCTCCCCCAGCCCCCCACCCCTGCTAGAGACTAAACCTCCCACTATCTTACCTGCATCTAGAGAAATGGAGAAAAACACCAAGACCGTGCTAATTATAGGTGCCACTAGCAATATAGGCGTCGCTGCCATCCTAGACGCCCTAGGCTCGGACCGCAACTTCCTCGCCGTTGTCCGCGACCAGCACTCGATAAAGGTGCTTGAGCATGTTCCCACAGGCTATGATCGCATTACAGTCGTCGAGTCCGACGCCGTCTCGGACCAAGGAGTGCAGAATATTGTTGCCAAGGTGCGGGCGGGATCTAACTTTTATAAGCTTTTCAAGACTACTATGTCACTTTCGTGTAGACTCTCTCTAATTATCTTGTTTAGATGCCTATTGTGCTACAGTCCCTTATCTCCTCAAGCAAAAGGATCGCCAGTGAACTTAGACAACTTGCACTGGTTCGCAAGGTGATATCGGATACCTTACTCTTCCGGCCATCTCCCAAGGCGCATTGTTTTCCATATATTACTCTGCGTACAAGGCACTGGCTGGCACGAACGTTCGTTTCAATGAGATTTACCTTGGTCGCAGGGTCCAGGTCGACTCGGTGGCGGAGCAAGCTGGCTCAACCAAGTCGTCAACTTTTGGCCGTGTTTGCACGAATATTCTAGGTAGAGCGGATATAAAGAGCTGCCGTGTTCGCGTTGAGAATGAGGCCGATGTGGACGAGCTTAAATTGGAGCGAAAGGCGTGATGATGCGATTGGGGTTATAGGAAATATCGTGTCACTTAGAAGAACGTTAGTTATATCACAAACTTTAATAATTTTCTACTACGAAACTATGCAAGGTTGTGATATATTATGTCACAATTTGAGATTCAGTGACAACACGCTTACGCGCTGTTGTATTAATTTCTTTGTAGACGACATCGCGCGCACTCCCCTAACCTGCTCATTCTTGTGTCGCGTCGCGGTGCAGCATAGTCTATTTTCAAACGTGTATGTATGTGAGGTGGCAAAGAAGAGCTAATAAGAGCCAAAAAAAATAAAGCTACATACAAAAGCAATAATATAGTCGAGGATAAAACGGAATACACTGTACAGACTTAACTGTATGCTCAACGAAAGACACTACCATTCACGTGAGAAGATTTTGGATTTCTGGATTTTCTATAGTAACAAAAGACTAGTCTTCTTACCGGCACGCCCTAGCCAAGTCAAAAAAAGGGTTGTAGGTGTTTTCGTCAAAAGCTCATAAGTATCGTCCATCAAGATGTTCTATATCCGTTCATACAGAAGCCTCAAACATTACATCTTCTGCGCTTCTCTTCCTTCACGTAGAACCATCTCCAGACGATGCTCATTTTGCGGGACAAAACGCACTTTAAAAGGCTTTGCATGTCGCAAAGGATAGGGCTCGAAGGCATCATCAGACACGTCGATGGTAGCTTTACCCTTCTCACCATTGAGAGGTGGCTGTATGTCGAATGCCCATAGCATGTTGGCCAACATCAAAGCGAGATTGCTTTCTACCAGCCGTGTTCCCGGGCATACCCTTCGTCCAACGCCAAATGTGAAGTGATTGCGCGCCTGCGGGTCGGACATCGCCGCGTAATCGCCAGCAAATTTTGTATTGTTGATATGGTCCTCTGGCCGAAAAGCCATCGGATCGGGGTACTTTTTGGGTTCGTAATGCAAGGCTACAGTGTTGCAGATGACCGCAGTACCTTTGGTGATGACCATATCCTTGTAAACCACATCGGCATCTGTGAAATGGCGAATGGCCCAGGGCGGCATGGGACAAATCCGCAGTACCTCCTTGATGCAAGCCCATACATATGGTAGTTGTGGTATGTCGGCCATAGCGGGCTTACGGGAATCTCCAATCACTCGATTGATCTCAGCCGCAGCGGTTTCTTGGACCTCGGGGAAAGCAGCGAGATATAAAATGAGGTTGTGGAATGTAGCGGTCGATGTGGCGGAGCCGGCGTCTACGAGTCCACCAGCAATCCAAGCTAGGTCTTCTTCTTTGAGGCCCTGCTGTCTGAAATCAGATTCAATCATCTGCTTAGCGTAACATGATGGCGCTGATAAGCTTGTGAATTGCTCCTTGAGACGATTCCACATCCGCATCTTTACCCAGAGAATCCATTCCGAGTCCTTCACTGCTTGTCAATATAAAGGCTGCGCCCAAGTCGGCGGTTCTGCAAGTGGCGGAATGACATCTTCGATATAGGATCCCGGCTGCTGAATCTTGGAGAGAAGCTTTGCGCTTTGTTCGGTATATTTGAGGTCTTCGTCGTTGACGCTTTCTGTCGACCGTCCATAGACGGCGCGCATCAACGTCGAGAACAACATACGGTTGATGTCTTTATAAAATGCGGAATCATCGGTGTTCTTTGTAGCGAGATCATTCAGGAGTCGTGCAATCTCAACAGTCTGGTATGGGATAAAGCTGTTAACTGCTTTGGCGGTTAAGATCTGGTGGCAGAGCTGTTGGTAGGCTCGCCACTTCGGACCGTACGACATCGTCGGCACACGCATCCCACCAACTACCACATCCGACATGGGCATCTGCAGCTTCGATCAGGTAGAGACAGACTGCAAGCATTATGTCAGTACTTTGAAGTATCTCAAAAGAAGGACAAGACAGACCTGTTTGTCGAACACGATCTTAACAGCCTCTGGCGAGTTCAAAACAACCCAATGGTGCCAGCCAACTTGGACGCGATAAATGTCGCCATACTCGCCAGCCCACTTGCGGAACTTAGTTAACGTATATGGTGGGAGTGAAATACCTAATCCCACGAAATAATTCAGAAGAGGGCCAGGGATCTTGGGAAGGCGTCTATCCGTTTGTAGCAGTGGAAAACATGATATGAATAAGCCCAGAACGCCAACTGTCAGTACAGCAACCGTCAACCATGAGAGCTGGAGAACTTGCGATGCCAACATGGGTGTCGATAGGATTGAAGACGCAGACTCAGATTAACAATCAGCTGCACATCAGTCAGGGAGTATCAAACACCCACATATGTTACAATTTATGCTCTACGGTACTCGCAGATAGAGTTGTAGCTTTCGCACCGAGACTGAAGATTGTTTCCCGCTCTTGCTCTGGAACTCGCGTTCGCGTTCGGCGGTCACATCGGTATTCGCAATTTGCTTTCGGCGAACTGAGCGGCGAATCGCAATTCCGCATCATCGTGGTGCTTTACCTAGGGTGTGAACTCTGGAGATCGCTTTTTAATCGCCTGGAAAAAGGTGGATATGTTACCTGAGATCATTGCTCTTCCTGTAATTTTGGTATCCTGCACAAACAACAGTTGTGCACAGTGACAGTCATCAAAAAACCCGATTCAAAGCTATTGATTCAAGAGGCAAGCAGTTTTATCACGCAGAATCTGATTCGCCAACAACAAAATTACTGCCTCCAGTTCCTCTGCCACTTTGGTATCCTAGATCTCATTCCATTACCGCCACAACGCATCTCGTATGCAGATGTGGCGGCTAAAGCGAACGTGCCGGTTACGAGATTGAAGGCCGTTGCGAGAATGGCCATGACAGCCGGATTTCTCCGTGAGACGGTCGATGGCAATCTATCGCATTCCCCACTCTCTGGAATCTTCGTTCAAAACGAACATCTACGGATCCACTTGCACCACATGGTTGAGCAGACAATCCCCTTGATGGCTGCGTTCACCCAAGCGATAGAGATGTGGGGTGAGACCAAGGTACCGAATCAGACGGCGTACAACATCTCTGCAAAAACAGATCTGCCCTTCTTTGAGTACCTCAATTCGGATCCGGATATCGGCAGCGAGTTCGATTCCTATATGAAAAGTCAGGCAGTTGTGAACTCGGGTGCCAAAGTAGAACATCTATTGCGTGCTTTTGATTGGGCATCTTTGAGAGAAGGAGCTACGGTCGTCGATCTGAGTATTCCCACCCACTGGGTAAGAACGAAATTTGATGCTGATGCTTCTGAATAGGTTGGTGGAGGCAGCGGTGCGACGGCGGCTGCACTGGCTACGGCCCATCCCAAGCTCCGTGTCGTCATTCAAGACTTGCCAACTCCTATCCGTAACACAAGTGCTTTTGTTGGAACGCTCCCGAATGACGTTTCAGGACGGATAGAGCTCCAGGAACACGACATGTTCAAGGGGCAACCAATTAAGAATGCGGAAGTATACCTTTTGAGAACCATTATTCACGATTGGCCGGATGAGGAAGCGGTATCCATTCTGCGCCGCGTTGTTGCCGCAATGGGACCACAGAGTCACCTTGTCACCATGGATATGGTGCTCCCGATTCCAGGAACCGAATCTCCAGACTCTGAGGCTGCATTGAGGCAGAAGGATTTGGCAATGATACAGACATTCAATACTAAGGAGCGCGAGATGGAGCAGTGGCTTGAACTTATCAGAGCTGTGGACCCTCGGATACATGTGTGGAAAGTCCGACGACCAGAAGGTGCCCAGCACTCAGTTCTTGATGTAACATTTCGGGAAAATGTACCTACTAGCTAGAATCTCACTTTATAAAGATTTGATGATATTTGCAAGAAATTTGAGATTTTCATGTGAGAAAGAAATGTGGTGTGAGGGGCTGGAAACCTGAGAGGATGAGGAAGCGTGGGGGCGAGCTGGGGATCGCCACGCTTAGCCTATTCGAGGTGGCTGAACGACATCTTCCAAAACTAAGTCGTCCCACTGATACCTTTCTGATACGGTCCACTCCTCAGCTGGAAAGCGTCAATTCAACAGCACGTACCCTTCATAGCAATATAACGTCTCATTGCAAATGGTGATTTGTTACACTGTCTCACTCGAGCTATTTCCGCTCTTTGTTGCCATCTCCACTATCTTCTTCCAACTACCCATTGGCTGATGAAATTGCGAAAACCGCTGTAGGAAGCGATTTACAGCTCCTTGTCCTCTTTGATATGCTACATCATAGAAGCTTTGGGTGATGTCAGTGACATTGATATCAGAGAAGCCAGCTTTCTTCTCAGCTATCGTTGCAACGAGCTCCACTGCGTCAAGAATAGCATGATTACCACCCTCGCCGCCAAAGATTGGCATAGCATGAACAGCATCACCGATGAACACGGCCCCCAATTTGGCGGCCTTGTCTAGCTCTTTTCTCTGCACTTGAAGTGCCCAGATGCGCCAATTGTAGACATTGCTTTTCTTTATGTCATCGGCATTGACCAATATCGAGAAAGGTGGGACAAGGTCTTTGCTCCGGATTTCTTTCAAAAGATTTTGAGGCACCTTCAGCATCTCACCGCGATCTGGCATCCACAATGGGTCGCTTTCACCATTTTGACTGCGCGAGTATGTCCAATCCAGATCGATCGACCCTTCTTTGGTGGCGTTCGCAACCGTCACGAACGTATTGAAATTATCGCCAACTCCTGCGCCGATCGTGGACTCGCCGATGTGAGTGCTCCAAAGTTCATGCCATTCTGCCACTTTCATTCGCCTTTTTCCGTGGAAAAGAATCACTGGTGGCGATTGAACTTGAACTTTTGGGAGCAGAGACTGACGAACTAAAGCCGGGATTAATTCTATACATGGCCGACATGAGAGGCATTTACTTACCACCAGAATTTACTCCATCTGCAGCTATCAACATGGAGCCTTCAATCTCTTCGTCATTCTCGAAGATGGCTTTGACATTGCCCGGCCCCCCTTCAATCGCTTTCAGTTTGTAACCATATCGTATATCCACTCCTCTGCCCAACCAGTCTCTCAGAACACTCCTGTTAGCCCGGAACAGAGAGACTCTGTTGCTTTTCTGAGACTTTTGAGGATTGAAAAGAGTTTCGCCAGTCCCGTTGTTGCGGAACGTCAAGTCTACCCAGCCAGTACCTCCGAGTTCTCTATCAACAGCCACGCCCTTTTGGAAATCACTGACCAAAACACCTCCGATTCCATCGAGTAGGGGTTCGAAAGCCCAATCGCGGACAGTAATGGCGTAGCCCTGGCTCTTCTCCTGAGTAGACTGCTCGAAAACGACGCACGGCATTCCACGTTGCTTAAGAAGACGCGCAGCAGAGAGGCCAGATATGCCGGCTTCGACAATAACGATCGGTTTCTCACTCATGATATGCTATTTAAGCTTCAGGTATTCTCGTGGGATAATGGAGTCAATGCGACCTAAGATGAGATTGTTTGTGTGCAACGAAAGATTCAAGAAGAGCCACAGTAGTATCTGTCATAACGACCTTTCTCACGGACGACTGACCAGTCGTCTAACTCTTGCCCGAGCAACATACAGAGTACGTTGGAGATTAACGTTACGAAGATGCTTTGAACGGCGTACGGGAGAACGATCAGGCCGAGTTCAATGGCGCTCGGCATAACCACCATGAACGCCGAGCGCATTGCCATCTCCGTCGCGTCGGGCATCACAACAGCCACTCATTCAGTTTCAAGACATTTCAGAGAAGATCGGGTAGAATGGCATTGAAGCTTCGGCGAGCGAAAATGGCGGAGTTATGCCGTCACCAAAATGGAAAGAAGACAGTGACTACCGGTGTGCATGTTGCACCATACTGTCATCTAGTAGATACTTTAGATCGAGGCCCAGGAACTCTGAAAGCAGCACAAATCGTACTTGCTACAATATGGATCCATCCAAGATAATTGATCGAGCAAATCTGAAGACTATTAAAATTTACGGACATGTTGCTGTAAGTACCTCATAGTCTACAATCTCATCCGAAATGAACGAAAAGTCTCACGGACGCAGGGACCGCAACCATGGAAGGTCGTCATTCTTCTGAAGCAGCTTGGAATAGCTTACGACATTGAGTTTCTCACCGCAGACGAGATGAAGGTTCCACCATACATCGACATCTGCCCAAACGGCAGAACTCCAACAATATTCGACTCGAACACAGGCACCACGTTGTGGGAGGTAAGTAGAGACCAGTTAACAAGAAGATATAGGCATGACTGACCACTGATTCACACAGTCTGGAATCATCATCGAATACATCGAAGACCTCTACGACCACGATGCGAAGCTCAAATACACCACCTTTCCCGAAAAGTACCACCAGAAGAACTGGAAAGACTACCAAATCGCAGGCCACGACCTTTTCCTCGGCCAAAAGGCATACTTCACAATGGTCAACTCCTCCAGCCTTCCGGTCGTCGTAACCCCAAACTAAACGTGACTCAGTTTCACACCGACCAAGACCTCTCTTCTGTCCATGAGCACTACGGCAACATGACGCGCTGGGTCCTCGGAGTGATAGAAAGACAGTTGAGCAAGACGGGAAAGCCGTACCTAGTGGGAGACAAGTGCACCTACGCCGACCTCATGTATATACCCTTCCACTTAGTCTTGGCCGACAAGTTCATGCGCAACATCAATGAGAACTTCGAGAAGGAGTGGAAAGAAAAGTTCCCTCGCTGCTACAAATGGAATGCGCGCTTGATACAGCGCGATAGCGTCAAGGAGGCTTTGGTGGAGAAGTATCGTGCTATGGACAATGCCGGGTGGCCCCAGTAGACTCCACAGTTGAATGAATGCAGAACCTTTCTGTTTTGATTTTCTGCTGCTAAGCAATAAATGACTACTAGTGACTTTGACAGCGATGCGTAGCCCTGAAGTGCAGGGAGAGAGGTCGAGAAGAAGGCTTTGTAGCTGTGTTCGTCGGTTGAAAACTTTCCTACCAGAAGCGAAGAAAGGCACCACGAACCTGCTCAGAAGCGCGAAGAAAGACAGTTCCGAGCTGGATGCTCTTCATATGCAACATTAATGAATCGTCCGTGGTATCACATGACTTTGGTAGGCGGAAAGTGACCACACATGTAGAGTCGCGCAAAAGACTAAGCAAACAATAGAAGATGTGCAAAAACATCATAATTCATCAATGGGTTGGTTCAACAGTGAGAGAATAGACTTCGTAAAAAAAAACCTTGAATACATAATACATACTCGCCAGAAATGTGCAAAAACTCCCAGACATCTTTGCATGAACGATACCCGCATCTGTAGTACAAAATTGATCTGTTCATTGATTTTCTTCCAGCCACTCCTTGAACACACCAACAGTCTCACACTCAATGAATAACGAGCTCTTGATTTCCATCTTAAGAATGTTCTTGAACTTCTCCACTAAGACAAGCGACATGAGAGAGTCGACACCAATCTGCATAAATGTCGTGTCATCTTTCAATTCCGAGGCGTCGACACCCGTCTCTTTGAGGATCAGATCGATCGCGCCTGCAATGAGAGAGTTTTCCTCATTTGCTGGCTCCGCCTTCTCTGCTGTTACGGACACAGGAGCCGGATGAACAATTGTCGGGGTTGTCCTCTTGGCTACGGGCCCGGCGGCAGCTGGAACGATCGTCTTCACCTTGCTGCTGGTGCTGCTAGCATGGGCTGTGCCATGGATCTCACTAGGCGAGAAGAAACGGTCCATCAAGATCCGGTTGATCTGCCGGAACTTCATCTGACCAATCATACCGATGATGGTATCACCCTGGAGAATATACACGTCTCCGGTCCAGAACTTCGGATCTTCTTCGCTCGACACCATCTGCACATAGCTGCGACAGCTCGCACCTGGGTGGGGTGGGCGAGCAAGACGGAATGTCTCCCATCCAGGAGTGACGTAAAAGAAGTCATCCGTGTTCGAAGCATCAGAGCCATTCAGGATGAAGCCTCCTAGGTGGCAGACTTTCAATCCAATGTGGTGGAGTATGCCACACACCAAGCTCATCAGGATTTAGAGTGACGTCTGCAAAAGCTTCGTAGTCTTTCAGAACAACCGAGCGCATGCCCCGGTAGTGGTCGGCATAAGTGACAACATTTTTGAAAAGTGTGTATGCCATGTTCCGGTTGATCTTACTTGCGAGTCCTTCTATAGCCAATTGGTCCAAAGCCTGGATGCGCTGTCTGACTAGATGCTCGAGGCGCTTCCAGTTTTTACTCCAGGTAGCCGCTTCTTCAAACTGGATCTTGCAAGAGCCATAGTATTTAGCGTCCCGAATGCCATCCTGGGACACGTTGTATAGGAAGATGGTCACACTCCTGGCATGTATGTCGAGGGTTGCCTCAAGTTGGATTAATTGCGGGCCATCCTTGCGGGACCTAGCGACCTGTGTGTAGAGGATCTCCATGTCGCGCACGTTCATATGGAAGTCCTTTTCCTTCGGGTAGCCGAGGCCATGCAGGTATCTACCCACTGTAAAGGCCATGTCGGCCCAGATAGAGGATGATGCAACACCGTGATTGTTCATCCGATGGCCCTCCACAGCTTCGAGGAATGCGTGATCTAGCAGATCCGATAGAGTCACGAGGCTAACAGTTGACTCGCCTACCGTCTCGGAAACAATGCTGTGGATTGTAGAGGTCTTTAACTTGGATCCCATGCCGCTGATGCCTGACAAAGCCTTGTTTTGCCTTGCCTTGTCAAGGTTCTCCTTAATGTGAGCTTTATCAAGAGTCCAAGTTCCGAGGTAGGGGATCCAATAGGTTTTGTCGTTCCAGCGGTAGGTAGGCAAGTGGAACACTTGGTGAGCGCGTTCGTGTTCACGGAAGTATTTGTTCCAGACGGGCGTCACTCCAGCGCGATGCAGGGTAACCAGTGATGAGACGAGCGTGGAAAAGTTATCCTCATCGCGCTTAACTGATGGAACGACAATGTTCGGCGTCAGTATGTTGCGAACCATGCCTCCAGCAATCATGTGGGGACCAATGTCAATCCAGACAGTATCCGCATCAGCAATACCGAGTTCTTGGGCAGCATCTAAGGCGCCCACAACTTCAACCTGCTCCCTGGTTGCGCGACGCAGATATTCGTGGTTGAGCGTCTTACCGTCGAAAATACATTCGGCGAGGAGAGGGGAGACAACCGGGATCTGGGGAGCTTTGAAGGTGACGTTCTCCGCTAGTTGAGCAAATGACTCCAAGATTGGGTCCATTTGAACAGAATGGAAAGCATATGGCACATTGAGCGCTGTAGATTTCAAGCCTGCGGTCGCTAGGATACTAGCGAGGTCTTGAATCTGGGTTTTCGCTCCACTGATGACAAGGTCGCTTTCGCCGTTGATGCAAGCGAGCTCGTAGTCCTGTTCGCGGCCTGCCAGTAGCTCTTCCAGTCGATCGATACTGCATCTAACGGCCAACATAGTGTCAGTGCCAACTTGGCAATGCTTAGCCATAAGCTTTGCCCGTGCAGTCGTGAGATAAAGAGCATCAAGCTCAGAAATTACACCAGCTACCGCTAGTGCTGCAAACTCTCCCGAGCTGTGTCCCATGACCATAGATGGCTTGATTCCGAGTGTAGCCCAGTAGTGAGCAAGAGCAAGCTCAACGAGAACTATAGCCAACTGTGATGCCACGGGGTCGACTGTATCACTGTAGCCAGCAGCGCCATCAATGATGGGTATGGCTGAGTCAAAACCTAGATTGAATGACTGTGACAAACGATCGAGGCGCTGGACATCTTCACGAAAGCTGGAACAGTGTGAGTAGAGCTGTGAACACATACCGACATAGAACGCCCCTTGACCCGTAAAAGTGAAAGCAACAGTCGGTGCCTTCAACGGTACTGTTGAGACCCATTGCTGTTGTTCCATCTTTTCAATCTCAATAGATAAGAATTTATTCGCTTGAGAGATATCCTTGACAGACGTAGCTAGGCGGAATGGGTGATGAATACGACGTGCAGTGAGAGTGTAGGAGAGATCACCCAACTGAGCATCCTCGTGGTCGTTGATATACTGCAATAAGGTTTCAGTGTTCATCTTCAGCGAGTTCTTGCTCCGAGCGGAAATAGTCAACGGGAAACTAGGACGAGGATCCGTGATGACGGGTGATGGTACAGGGCCATCACTCAACAGAACTGTCGTGTTTCCTCCGTGCGCGCCAAAGCTGTTCACGATAGCAAGGCGCGATCCAGTCTTCGGTCTGGGCCACTCGACGTATTCCCAGTTTAGACCAATGGTACGCTCCTCCAAGTCCGGCGGAAGTGTAGGGTTTAGCTTCTTGACGCCAATCTGGGGTGGGATGGCGGACTTCTGGTACATAAGCAGCACTTTGATAAACGAAGCGATACCAGCAGCCACCCCTCCATGCCCAATGTTGGACTTCACAGCACCCAGTCTCAGTCGATACTTCTTCTTACGTCGCGGAGCTACAGGAGCAAAGATGTGTGAGACGGACTTGGCTTCTTCACGATCTCCTGCTTGAGTGCCCGTTCCGTGAAGCTCGACATAGCTCACGTCTAGCGGCGAGAACCCTGCCTGAGACATCACCCTCTGGTAATTCTGAGCCTGCTTTGGGGCATGTGGGTGGGTTATTGAAATCGCATCAGCGGAATGATTCGTGTTGGCCGCCAGGATTGTCGCGAGAATTTTGTCGTTGTCGGCCAAGGCGTCATCGAGACGTTTAATGACTACGCTACCAACGCCATCAGCGCGACAGTAGCCATCAGCAGCTCGTCCCAAACTTTGCATTGTCCCGCAAGAGACAAAAAGTGACCCTTTCCGAGCTGACAGAATTGTCTGGGTCGGTGATAACATTCAAGCCTCCGGCAATAGCAATGTCTACATCTCCAGCCCACAAAGCTGAGCATGCTGCATTTACAGCGGCAAGGCCACTGGAGTCTGAGCAATTTGGTTAGCACAGAAAAAACTAATGCTCAAGAAAGACCAACAGGCAGTGTCCATGTTAAAGCTAGGTCCATTAAACTTAAAGAAGTAGTTGATCCGTCCGTTCGCGAAGCCTCGCTCACCACTAGGGACAGCGTACGTCCCAATGTTTTGGCTGGCATTGAGTTCACGCCAGTCATCGCTCGCTTGGCCATGGTAAGTTCCGACCCTGGGGGAGGAAGTGGAGCGCGTCCGGTTAGGAGAGTATCCAGACATCTCAAGGGCTTCGTAGACAGTGACGAGGGCAAGGCGATGCATAGGATCCATCTGTTCTGCCTGTAAAGAGCGTCAGCTACGAGTTACCTGATGTGTCATTTGATCATCCTACCTCCTTGGGCGAGATGTTGAAGAATCCAGCATCAAACAAGCCCGGACTATCAATATGGTTCATGTACGATGTCTGTGTGGTATTCTGGATTTGACCAGTCGGGTCAAAGTGGGTGCTCAATTCGAATCGATCAGGAGGAATCATCGTGTGTACATCGCGCTTATCAACCATGAGCTTCCAAAAGAGCTCTAGATCGTTGGCTCCACCGGGAAGGCGACACGACATGCCAACAACTGCCAGCTTGGATCCTTTGGGAGACATCGGGGTCTCAGCTTCACTCTCGTCACGTTTGGTCCACTTGATAAGATCTCGTTGAGTGAAAGTGATGCGACCGTCGCATTTATTTTCCACATTTTTCATCATCGTCCTCAGGATCACAGAATTTCTGAACGCGAAAAGACTCTGCTGCTGTTGACTTACCGATGGTAGATCGAGAGTTTCCACGATGTCGTCAACGACATTATCGATGTGAATCTTGTTCATGAGGAGCTCCGTAAGGACCTGGTCTAGCAAGCTGCGGAAGTCCTTCGCCGTATACGGGCGGCCAGTGCTAGAAGACAAGAGGGGCAAGGATGTCTTCCGCCCAGCTATCCGTTTATGATCATCATCTAATACATCTCCGATAATGGTTTAACATCTATAGCGGAGTAGATGTGAGGAGCATGACAGAGGCCGTGAAGCTCGGCGAAAGCCAACCCGCATTATGGAATGCTTGGTGCTGGCTTCACAAGGATCACATTTTCAGCCATGATTTGCCGATCAGCTACTCATGCGAGCTGGTAATAAAGTTCCAGGGTTCAATAGCCAATATAACCCCGATCGGCTCTGAGACGATGACAGATCCACCTGACTCAATCTTTTTCGGCTCCCGATATTTCTCTGCATTCAAGACACAGTATTGTAACTGAGCATCTGTTGGAAGCATGAAATTTGTTAATAATATCACATACTGATTGACCGTGGATTGGCCGATAGTCTATATAGGCAGATGAGACGACGCAGATGATAATGAATGAATCCTCTTCACATTTTTTCACGCACTATAGAGTGCGACACTTACTAATTTCCAGAGTTACTAGTTGAACATGTCTCTGAGACTGTTCTTTCAACAACGCAGTTGCTTTCGCGATGATATTAGCGCGCTGTTTAAAGGAACTCTGGTGCCAAGTTTCATCATAATAGCTCTAAGCTTTCTTCAGCGCTATATGCACAAATTTGTTGGTTGCGGGAGGGAGGCTTTCTAAGACCGTTCCAGATGCCGGGTTGATTGTCTGGTACACGTCGGGAAATGCTATGCTACGCGGTAAGGAAATGAAACTTAAATTTGGGGCTGTATTTAATTTGACCTTTCTACAACTATTATTATTATTCCTTGTCTCTGAACGGCCATGCGCATAATTCACTGTGGGGTAAGGCCATAGTTATTCGAAGGCCGTTTGGGAATCGTACAAGTATTATATAGGGAAATTAGTAGTAATTTGCTTAGTAGTAGTCTATAATTCTAGTTAAACTATACTAATCTTTAAGCTATGAAGGATACCTAGCCTAATTATAACTTGCTTTTTATATTTCTAATTTTAACATTACTAGAGAAGCTATATTGCTTGCTGTTCGCGCTACGGACGAATTGTAATTAAATGACGGTAGAAACCTTCTCATTTGGATCGAGACTGCCTTTCCTGCTTCAAGGTCCGTGCGGGACTTGGCGTCAGCTGCTGCACGCCTGATTGCCTACCCATCGATGACTCCCTTTGGCATGGCTCACTCTTTTTCATTCCATGTATAAAAAAATTGGAGCCTCATGACTGTATTCAAGTATGACTAGGTAATGTGTAGAAGGATAAATATCGCATCTTCCCTCCTCAAAATCACGTCTTCTTCCTCCAGCAATGACTATCAAAAAGCCTCATCCGCCTTTTGGGCACCCGATGCGCTCAGCACACTTTCAATTCGCACCTACTTATAAACCTCTCAACCATGGCTCTTTCGGTACGCACCCAACTCCTGTACGGGAGGCACATTACGTTTTCCAAACAACCGCAATCGAACGACCCGACACATTCGTTTCATTCCTTACATTCCCTCTCCTCGCCAAATCCCGCGCTGCAATTGCTCCGTTTCTCGGAGTAAATCATGATGAAGTGGTTTTCGTTCCCAATGCCACGACGGGTGTCAATACCGTACTCAGAAACATCAAATTTGAGGATGATGATGTAGTGGTGACGTTCTCGACGGCGTATCCGGCATGTGTCAAGACCATAGGTGCCATCGGTGAGATTCTGCCGGTCAAATGTGAGAAGGTCGAGTTGGTTTACCCGGTTGAAGACGAGGTAATTCTGGAATCTTTCAGGGAGAAAGTGAGGAGTTTGAGGGCGAACGGGAAGCGGGTGAGACTGGCGATGTTTGATACAATTTCGACCTTTCCTGGCGCAAGGCTTCCGTGGGAAGACCTTGTTGGGATATGTAAAGAGTTGGATGTTCTGAGCTTAATTGATGGAGCGCATGGTATTGGTACGTGGGCATTTTCCAAGCAAGAGTCAAGAGACATTGAAAAGATCTGCTGTAAACTGACACTCATCGAGGTATGATCGATTTAACACACCTCGGCGAGGTTAATCCGGATTTCTTTGTTAGTAATTGCCACAAGTAAGTCTGAAAGTGGCAGTATTGCGAAGGGATTGTTTACTTACCATTCCAGGTGGCTCTACACACCTCGCTCCTGCGCCGTCTTCCACGTCCCCCTCCGCAACCAGCATCTTATCCGAACCTCAGTACCCACCTCACATGGTTACCAATACCCTGGTCAACCCGAAAACACCAACGGCCGCAGCCCTTTCATCTTCATGTTCGACTTTGTCGCAACCATGGACTACACGCCTTACTTATGTATTCCAGCCGCCGTCGAGTTTCGCAACCAGGTCTGTGGAGGAGAAGCCAAGATCCGGGAGTACTGCTATGACATTGCTCGGAAAGGCGGAGATTGTATGGCCGATATCCTAGGAACGCATGTATTGACCACGAAGAGTGGAACAATGAGAGAATGTGCGTTTGCTAATGTCGAACTGCCGCTGGTATTCAAAAAGAAAGATGAGATTGATCAAAGCAAAGGAGAGTTGGATGTTGATGACGCAGTGAAGATTGCGGCTTGGATTAAGAGAACGGCTGCCATGGAGATGGACACATACTTTCAGACTGCGTTCCATGCTGGAAGGCTCTGGGTCAGGCTTAGCGGGCAAATTTACCTGGAAGTAGATGATTATAAGTGGGCTGCGCCGAAGTTGATGGAATTGTGCGAGAGAGCGAAGAGGGGAGAAGCGAGTGGTGTGGCTGTGACAGCCAGGGACAAGCTGATCACGTGAAAGAAAAAGTAGTATGTTTACGAGACGAGAAGGTTCGAGTGATTTATATTATGTTCAGTACTGATTTGCATAAATGTCTTATGCTAGGTGAGCATGGGTCAACTCAAGGTTTCACACATATTTCCATGTGACGACTTGATAATATGGTCAGATCAAGCAATCCGTATTAAAACTGCCTGTTTCTTGACAACGGAAATACGTTAATGATGTCCAGTAGATAACGCATTCGAATAAGTGCTGGAACATTTTCGTATACGACGCTCATTTTTGCATGCGCGGCTAAATTAATACGATATTCTATCCAGACAAGCGTGCGAACACGGTGTCTTGTCTTTCAACACATCCATACAAGTTCTGATCATGTGTATTCTAGAATCTGCAGGGATAGCATATACTCTTGGAACGTCCAAGCACGAAAGTGAATAGGATTTCTACGGTAATCAAAGAGTAAAACCGAGCCTGATCTACCATCTGGACAAATATAGGGAAGACTGAAAACAAAACTATCTGCAGGCGGGTGAGATACTGGATGAAGGAAGCCTTCCCGGCTGTCGCTTGCTCTGCTCGCACAAATGGTAAGATAAGCATTACCAAAGGTTGTAAGCAGATCCGCGATTCCGCGAGCCCAGTCTTTCTCATCGTCCTGGGAGATGCAGAGGCAGTCTATCCAGATGAATTTTATGCCAAGATTCCAGCTCGATAAGATGGCGTCTTGTAAAGTTCTTGGCAACTTCGAGATAGCAAGCCCTGTTTGGAGCATTTCGAGTGATGAAATTGTCAATTTGTGCTCCTGGTCTCTTCCCAGCAATAACTCAATGTTGAGTATCTTGTTACCATTGACTCACGTGACAACACGGGCACAACGTCCAGATAGATATAGAGCTGGTTGCTTTGCTCACCGATTCCGATACGAAGCAATCTCGTAGGCCTTTGAAGAGGATGCGAACTTTTGAATTTCATGTAGTGGACATCAAGCTGTTCTAGCAGGGAAAACTCAAGCTGATCCACTCATAAACTACCAAAACATCTATCAAGGCAGCCACCAGGGCTGAACAGTGCAGGGCAGTGCTGAGGCAATGTTCGCGGGTTAGCGCGACTGAGTACATCATCCTAAACATTCCTTCCAAAAAGGGCGCTGGGACTATTATGAAAAATTGCCTTCATGCCTGCAAGCTGGATATCGATAGTTTGGAAAACTTATTATAGGAATGTATCAAATTTCCGTATGAACGTGCCAAAAGCAAAGGATAGAGCTAATAGTGGATGCTGTAATGCCAAGCGAGCGGGACGGCCCGTTGGCGGTGTGTAAAGTCTGAACTTGTCTCGTTCGCGCTGCGCTGATCCCACAACCTCAATCATGCCGCGCCGAGACTGGACACCTGAAGAATCCAAAGCGCAACTCCCGCCTCACGCTGAACACTTACCACACGGCTCGCGTAGTCACAAGCGCCATCATCACTCACACCGCTCGCGCTCTCCTCGCCGTGATGACGACGGCCACCGACACAAACGGACGCGGACGCGATCGCGTTCGCCTGCGCGGAAACCTGTAGATTTGCCGTACAAGGCAAAGCCGCTATCCAAACCCCAGTACGACGAGTACCGACCGCTGTTTCAGTCATACCTGGATATACAAAAGCAGATCCAACTAGACGACCTAAATGAGCGGGAAGCAAAGGGACGATGGAAAAGTTTTGTCAGTCGATGGTACGTGTGGATCTTGTGTGAGAAAAAATGTGTTGGAAAATATCATTCTAAAGTCTCAGGAATCGTGGAGATTTAGCCCGCAGCTGGTACGACCCATCTATGCTCAAAACGGCGCAAGAAACAGTGCAGTCATACCATGCATCGTCCGCCCAAGCCCCGGACAGACGAGCTTCGCCCAGCTATGCGCACAAAGAAGGTGGCGAAGATGACAGCGACGATGAATTTGGTCCAGCACCACCGAGAGATCTGGTGCAACATGCTGGCCATGGACCAACCATGCCCAGACTCGACGACCTAACATATCGCAATGAATTGCGAGATGAAGACCGGGCTCGGGGCCAATCTGAGTACATGGATGGCCTGCGCTATTCCCGTAAAGCCGACCGCAAAGCGCAAAAGGAGCGTCTGGACGAACTGGTTCCACGCGCCGATCCGGGCAGCCGTGAACGACAACTAGAGAAGAAGCGCGAGACGACTTCGACACTACAATCATTCCGCGAAGCCAAGGAATCGGGAGATGTTGAAGTTGCGGAATCAGATCTGATGGGCGACGATGGGATTGACGTCTACAAGAAGAAGAAACGGGAGCAGGAGCGGCAGAAAAATGAAAGAGAGATACGGCGTGAAGAGATTGCAAGGGCGAGGGAAGCAGAGAGAAATGAAAGGTTGGCAGAGAGGAGGGAAAAGGAAAGCAAGACTATGGAGTTTCTCAAGCAGATTGCACAGGAGAGATTTGGATAGAAGCTATTGTATGCTTTGTGCTATACGGGTGGGAGAGTTTATTAGCTGGATCGCTAAGAAGGGTGTATTAGAGCGCTAGTCTAGGTGAAGGAGGTCCGCTTGTAATTAAGCAGGTAAAGAATGCAATTGGAAGCCAATGAGATACTCCGCCAACACCGTGCTGTATTGCAAAACCCAAATCATATCAGCATGAAATGCGCCCATCCCTACATGACTCTTTTATTCGTCGTCAAGAATGGAGCTCGCTAGCGGCCCGAAAAAGGGCAATTCGCATCGATGGAGCGTCGCAGCTACGAAAACGTCGGTAAGCGTGATGAGTGACATGTGACGACAAGCCAACTCACCATCGAGATAGGCCCTCCATGTCAGCCAGGCTATGAGTGCCAAGTCGCCCAGCAACATGAGCCAGGAAATCAAGCTCGACCAGCTGAATATGACGTGCAGAACAAAGATGAAGGCAAAGAGCAGACTACTCTGCCATGCATGGAAGCGCACGTAGTCGCTTTGGTGCTCGAACATCAATAGTAAAACGCCTCCGGCTGGGGGCAGTAGCAGATATGCCAGACAAGCCTCGTAATCGAGGCGCCAGCCCAGCGATGTGGTGAACATGTCAATGTCTTGGCGCGAACGGCCAAAGGCCGTGTTGCGCGAGGGCTGGTCCCATGCTATGCGCTCTGTTTGGGGTTCGGCAAGCGGAGATGTGGGAGGTTGGCCTTGGAAATAGTCCTGGTGGTCATACGAGGAGCGTGTAGGCGGCGAGGCAATGGTACGGGAGCGGTCGACGGATGCTCGAGGCGAGCGGAGTGGTGGAGGGGACAGAGCTCGTGACGATTCGGGAATGTCCTGGTACGGGGCGAAGTTTGCTGCCATGGTGTCCTTGTCCGCCGACGCGGGCGATGATGCTGAGTGGTTTCTTCCGCCAGGGCTCCAGGCTCTGCTATGCTTGGGCGGTGGAAAGTGGAGTGCAAGGATTGGAGCCCATATGTGGGGTGAGGCTGTGGGCGCAGAAGGCGCAACCGGCCAGTGACGCGGGACAGGGCAGGCGGCAGGCGGCAGGGATCCTCGGCAAGCGGCACTGTCACGTGAAGAGTCGCTTTGGGATGTCTCCGCTGCGCTACTCCGCTGCTGCAGGAACACTGCGAGGTCATGCTGTGCGGCGTGACTAGAGAACGACTGCTCACGCCAGCGTACCGCTTGAGAGCCACAGAGGCACAGGGAGCACTTGCAACAGCCCGTGTGCAAGGACAAATGGGAACCTCATGCATCTCATCCCCGTACTCGGTCGCTGGCGGGCCGTCGCTCTTTTTTCATCATCACAAGGACATTGAACTGCGCCTCGAGTACAACGCCGACTGCATCTAGACGTGTATCATCTCATCTCACTCCACACTCTGTACTGTTGGGACCACGTATATGAGCCAGCGCTGACGCCTCTCGCTGGCAAACATCCTCACCGCCTGCCCTGCATTAAGCAAACTTCTTTGCTTTAACCCGTCTCTTTCCGCATCCATCAACGCCACACAACACAAGTGCAAGACGCCGGCTCCTGCGCCTTTCCATCTGCCCATAGTCAAACACAGACACACACACCTTATCTCACAATGTGCATCGCCATACTCACAACGGCGCATCCAGACTACCCCTTCATACTACTGAACAATCGAGATGTATGGCTGGCCAGATCGACTCAGCACCGCAGGTACAACTAACCACTGAACAGGAATATCTCCATCGCCCAACTGCAGAAGCAACATGGTGGCCTTCACCAGACACACAGGTCCTAGGTGGCTATGATCTTCATCGCCCTGTACACGGCACCTGGATGGGTGTCACTCGCCAAGGCCGCATCGCTGTACTCACAAACTACCGCGAGGAGGATGAAAAGATTGTTGAGGGTGCACGCAGCAGAGGTCTAATCCCAAATGCATGGTTAAAAAGCGACCCTGCAAAGGAAGAAACTACCGACGAATTCGCAAAGCGAATGATTGAACAGGACGGCGTCGAAGGCGTCGGCGGCTTCTCACTATGTTATGGCTTCATGCAAGACGTCGTCAAAAAGGGAAAGGGGCTAGCCATTGTTAGCAACCGCACTCCAGATGTTCACGGCGTAGTTCGTTTGCTCCAAAAACCCGATGAAACCCACGCCCTGAGCAACGCTGCATACAGCGATCGTTCATGGCCCAAAGTTATTCACGGCGAGGAATGGACCAAGAAAGCTATTACCGAATCGGTCGCTGCAAACGAATCTCGCGATCAACTCATCCAACGCCTCCTGGCCCTGCTCAGAACAGACACAATGCCTCGCCAAAAGGAAAATGAAGAGTGGGACATGTATTTGAATCAGTTGCGCCACAGCATCTTCATTCCAGCCATCGGAAGAGACCACCTAGAAGAGCACAAGATGCCTGCACATGAGATTGGCGATGTGGTCAAGAACAAGGCGGCGGATGCAACCAGTGGGTGCTATGGCACGCAGAAGAATATCGTAGTGCTGTGTGATCACCAGGGCAAAGTGACATATTTGGAAAGGACATTATACGACGTTGATGCCAAACCAATCGAAGACGGCAAAGGGGATCGCATGTTTGAATTTCAGATTGAGGGATGGTAGGGTAAGCTAGACTTGATAGGCGCTTGCAGCAGACAGGTGAATGGATTCCGTATGGTCCAGTCAACTTCCATTAGAAGAATCCCACTCAAGCTACGATTTCCATTTTCATTAGTTTTTTCCATCACAACACCAAAGCACTTTCACGTTGTTTCCATCAGCAAGACAGTTTGCTTACAGAGTTGTTGCGCATAGTACATTAACAAGACCATTTTTTTCCTACAATGCTCTAACAACTTTCTCTACACTCACAACTACACACAGATTGTGATATATGAACACTTTTTATATTGCCTCCAAAAGGAACACTTCTTCACTACTACTTCTACTTCCTCATCAACCCTACCATCAAAATGTGCATCATCTACTTTGAGGCGCACCTGGAAAACGGACGCGAACACTTCATGGACCAGTACTATTGCGGTCACGAGGATTGCAATGGCCGCTTCGAGTCACACCAAAAGCACCTGATTTATACGCCTCGTGATCAATGCAGTATCTGCATAGAGGAGGACAAGGTCAACATTGGCCTTGCCACCAATACAGGCAGGTACAACCCCCCTGTTAGCGATTTGGGACCAATTCAAGGGGAAAATGAAGATTTGCATGATCAGTGTAACAACCGCAGGGACTACAAGGCTCTCTCCGACGTAGACAGCGTGACATCTCATTGGCGCCTAGACGATCTTGACGACACACTCGAAACCAAGCCTGAGGCTCAATCGTCACTACACCCCCACGCTGCATACGGTGGAAATGGCCCTCATACGACACATGGAGAGAGTTCTTATACTGGACGATATGATCACCATCGTTCTTCATCACCTTATATACCCTGGACTTCCCACCCATACTATGCTCCGCCTCCCCGCAATTCAGCCATGACCACATCCTCTTCACGGGATGTTCCTTCAAACATGCAAGAAAATACGCACCAGCCGCTGGTGGGAAACCAACCAGCCTTCAATGAGTCGTTGAGCAGGACATCGCATCGCGAAATGGTGCAGGAGCAGTTGGCCCAATTACCCCATCACATGGCCCAAGTACAGCAGCAAAATTACCATTCGCAGTTCCAGTACTACGGGGAACCTTCAAGGAACTATCAAGTTTGGCCAGGCGAGCGGACTTATGGTATGGGAGTGCCACCGAACCTGTGGCCAGCCCTATGGCCCGATGTCAAACGTCCCTTCGAACCCGGTGCATTTGATCACCTGAGAAGCCAGATGGGCAATGATGAACCCAAATCGAAGTAGATGCTATGGAACGGCTCGGTGGTCCGTACAAGATGGGTGGAGCTCAAAGGTAGATACTTTCACTCGAAGATTGCTGAAACTTGAAGAATTAGCGCCATGCGCCGGCTATTGAAATGGGTTGTCTATTGCAGTTACATAGGAAGAGGAGTCTTGACAGTTAGGCAGCGGATTATATTTACTTTTCATGCATGCGCTGTAATTAGTTGCTTTTCATGATTGCGCGGAAACTGAATGAGTTATAGAAGGAGTACCCTATTGATTGTGTTTCAGTAGTTCAAACGAGTTGGAACATACTTTGTGTGATTTTCGAAACTGCGATCAATTGTGTGACAGCTTGGACCCTTTCTCTTTAGGGAGAGTGGTCTACACAATACACAAAGGTCGTTCTTTCACACGTGCTCCGTCTTGGCAGTCTGACTCGGCTCGGATCACTGGTGACGTCTTGCAGATCCTCGGGAAGTCGAGGCACCAAACACCGAGCTAAACTCGAGCATCGCTCCACCCTATTACTCGCAAACCACCCAACACTTAGTCTTACCGGATAGCCTACCGTGACGTCGCATTCTGCGTCTTATTCATACCAACGTGATAAACGACGCCGGCACTCCATCGCGTCCCAACAATTACGCGCGACATGGCGTCTCTACCGCCGCAGCGCCCCGCGTCGCAACAAAGACCTGCGCCGCCGGCTGAAGCCTCTCCTTCGCAACAAGACCATACACGCCGAACCGACAGTTTCTCGGGCCAATCCGTCGACTCGCAAACGCTTCTACTCAACACTCCGCCGTCACAGACAAGCACGTCCACGTCAGAAGAACACAAAGAAGCGCCTGTCCAGCATGCGGCGCCGCAACAAGAGGAGGATGATGAGCCCCGCAAGTGCTGGATCTGCTTCAACGACGAGACAGAGGACGACGAAACAACATCAGAGTGGCGCAACCCCTGTGCCTGCTCCTTGGTTGCACACGAGAAGTGTCTCCTCGACTGGATAGCAGATATGGAGGCGCCCAATTCGCGGCGGCGCGCGGGCACAACGGCGAATAAGATATTGTGTCCACAGTGCAAGAGCGAGATCAAAGTGCAGCGGCCGAAGAGCTATGTCGTGGATGCTGTAAGGCGCGTGGAGCGCGTAGTCAGCAACCTGACGCTTCCTGGATTTGCTTTGTTCACCAGCACAGCGCTATACTCGACTTTGACGCTGTCTGGCACAGCGACAATATACCAGATATTCGGTACAGAGGATGCCCTGCAAATCCTCGGCCCCCTTTACGAGACGCCAAACCGGAACGTCAATTCAGTCCTTATGCAATGGCTTGAGCACCTGCGACAACACTGGAGGCTGGATCTCGGGTTACCTCTGATACCCACGGTACTGGTCGCCAGCAGAACAACATTCGCAGACTCGTTCTTGCCCTTTCTTCCACTCATATTCTTCGTCAGCTCAGGTCATCCAGGCGATGAGATGCTCCAGCTACAGTGGCCGCCAAGCGCCGCCTTCTCCTTTGCCGCACTACCATACATTCGAGGTTTCTATAATGCATACTACGAGCGCGTATGGCTGCCACGGGAACAGCAGTGGCTTAGGGAGATACAGCCCCGCGCAGGCGAGAATGCCGACGCCGAGATGCAAAACCAAGCCCAGCACAACCATGCACACGATGAGGGCGATGCTGTGGAGGACGTAGAAATTGAGCTAGACTTTGACATCTTTGCCGACTGGAATGACGGCGACGATGCAGACAACAACGACGCACCTGCAGCCAACGCACCCCAAGAAGAGGGCAATCGGGAGAACAATGTCCAGATACCGCCTGAGGTCGACGTTCGCGCAAACCCAGCCCCTGCACCAAACGTACCCATGCAGCCACCAGCTCAGCGCCCTCGCAACGTCCGACGCGAACGCGGTGTCACCTTCTCTACCACCTCCCTCTCAGACACCATCCTCGGGGCCCTCATCTTCCCCACCATTGCAGCCGCCATAGGCGAACTCCTACGCCAAACTCTCCCTGCTTCCTGGGTCAACCCCCCATCTGGCTCTCCGGCCGTGTCATGGCTTGGTGGCTGGGTCAAGAATGGCGGCAGCAAAATTGGAGGTGCATGCAAGCCAACGGGACTTCTGCAAACGCGCTGGGGCAGGAGTATTGTTGGCGGATGTCTTTTTGTTGGACTCAAGGATGCGGTTATGCTGTATGTCAGGTGGAGAACTGCCCAGAACCATCGTAAGAGGGGGATTGTAGATTATGAGGGTGGAAAGAGCAGAAGGGGTGTGAAGGCGAGGTAATGATATAGGGTTCATGGGTTGCGACGGATGTGGGTTTCCTGTCTTGTATTATAGGCTTCAACGCAATTCAATTGGTTCTTCTGACCATGCCTCTGTGTTCGTGTTGGGGAGTTGAGACATTTTACGGTTTTTTTGTTCTCCAAGGAGGTAACGTCGGGGTTACCATTCGGAAGAGGTTGTAGGGCACTAACATACACTCATGTTCGTTTCTTTTGCTTTCCAGTCGCAGTACAAATGATCTACAGGAACAATCTCCTCATGCGTGACATGCAACCCAAATCCGCCTGTCAACTCGCATTAAGACTTGGACTCATCGCTTGTACAGGTACCACGCCCAGCGGACGCCTCAGACAATACCTTTACAGCCTCACATCTTATAATCATGATGATCATTTTTTTGTTCTGGATCAAGCGTGGGATCTCCTCAACACAATCTCAACGCCGACACGTTATCAGCTTGAGTTCTCTCTTACGTAGTTGAGGATGCTAACGCGAATAATAACAAAGTATGTGTTATCTGAAGAAGCGAAAAACGTACTAAAAAGACTTGTCAGGAATGCACAACATCTATGGAGTAGTGCGCGATACTCGCAAAAGCAGACCGCCAGTACTAACACGCCTCCTGTTGGTGCCCATCCTCATCACCAACCTTACTCCACTTCCCGACCACTTCTCTCTCCACCATACACCCCTTCTCATCCCCCGACAAAAAAATGATCCAATAGATGATAACTAGACTCATCTCCAAGTGCAAAAAAAGAAACTGGACGCTGTGGGAATTGAACCCACGACCTTTCACAAGTACGCACATGGATAGTATGCGAAGCGAAAATCATACCCCTAGACCAAGCGCCCGTGGAAATTTACATAAATTGGGGAAAAAAAAATCTATATAGGATGTTACTTGGGATGGTTGAGCGGCATTGCGGATTGAGTTTCACAACCCCTCGAGTCACGGGTTTTGATGGAGAACAATGATTTTTGGAGAATGCCCTCGTTAGTATCTCGGTGCGTTGTGCAGTTTGTCGGAAGACTGGAGCCAGTTTGGAATCGGGGCGCAGGCATCACGTGTTGTGTAATCTCATCAAGACTCACGCATCCACTGGACGGTAATAGAGAAAAGTAGACAGTCATGCTGAGATATACAGACCATCTCGTAGAAACAATAGGTCGTGTAGAGGACAGCAACGATGATATGATAATGAACGAGTTCCACTATCTCGCTCGATGTAGCATACTCGCGAACTGTATTAGTTTGCGAATCCATGGAGTCTTGAGCGTGGGGTAGCACCAGATTAGCAAAGACATAGGAACAAATGTTAATCTGGATCAGAGTCGATGTTTTTTTAATAGAATATCTGGGGATAAATGATTATGATTGTTTCTGCGGGAAGTCTATTGACAAAAGGCCAGTGTTTGGAAGAACGACATTACTATATGTATATATGACATGTTGTGTCTGGAGACAGTCCAGTGTGTAGAATAACAATTCTTTCGGGTAAAAGATGTCTTGTTACTGGAATACGCTCACGGGTACAGTAGGAACTTCTCTGCAGTACATTGTATTTCATATACGGATTTACAGCATCTCGTAGGCATAGGAAAAATGATCAAATTCCAGACTTTCTTTATTCGTGTCAACAGAGCTGCTCTTGTTACGTGTTATACATGTCCTATTCTGTTAAATTGCATATAGATGATCGAGCGACGACTCGAGGCTTTATTAGGGCACTTGGTCCCATCCCGGTACGCAGGTCGTTATATCCACCTATCTACAAAGTGGCGCCCATACTAAATATCCTCTTGCGACGCGCCCTACTCTGCATCTCTGCTGCATCTGCAAACGAACTTTTGGCGTACAATCAGAATAGCTAGAGACGGAAGGTTAAGGAATACAATCTTGATAGCCCGTGGCTGGTTTGACGTAGGATAGATTGAAACATGATTGGTGTTTGTTGCTGATCAAGAAGAAGAGAGGCGACGTGGACTGATGGGGTTTCCATATCTGGGCCTTGGATATCAGCACAGTAAGGGCATTCATTGCACACGCTATGGAACATTGAAAGCTTGGCCATAAATTATCATTTCATTTGATTGTTCATTTCGCATTCAGACTGCCTACTGCCTGTTGATTATGCAGTCTTTACATTCTTCATATCATCCACCACCAATGACGTCTTCCCCTCTCCTTCATACCTGCTAATCTAAACCTTCTTGCTGGTGGTTTCCTCGCTGTGCTCCTTGAGTGGGTGCTCGGGGTTTGAGCTCAGGGTATCCTTGGTGTTGTCACTAGACTTCTCGGCGCCCTCCTTGGGTCCAGCGCCTTGCTGATTGACGTTGCCGGAGATCTGACCGGCTTGGGCACCAGACTGGCGCTCGGGGTCGGGAGACTGGCGGCCGGCGTTGGGGGCAGACATTTTGGTATGTGGAGTTGATTAGGTAAAAGAGCTGCCTGGAGTTAGTACTTTTTGCTGGACATGAGAACGATGCCAGCAAAGGATTGGATGTTAGGATTGATAGTGCAGAGAAGTCGCGACATATCCCACTCCTGTCCCCATATCGTGAACAAGACAGTGAATCCGACTTCTAACATGATCTGAAGCATTGTTTTCTTGGGAATGCACGTGCATGTTTGGGGTTGTGACGAAGCTCATGTGCAGCTGATGCAGCAGACGCGATAAGAGGAAAGAACGTACGTTTAGTGTAGGGTCAGAAAATCCTGCCTTGAATTAGCTTGTCTGCTCTGTGGCTTGAATGTGATAGCCAATACTCACTGGATATGTAAATGCCAGAGATAGTTGCAGGTGTGGGTGTAATGGTTCTCAAGAAGAGCGGCCCCTCGTGCCTTTTCATCTGCGAAGCTGCCCCACTGCACCTGACGTCACTTTTAGATCGGGCAACATCGACGTCAACCTCATCAAAGCGCTGCACATTGCATGGCGCGCTATTGTGGGCCGGGGTGGTTGGTGCTTAGCAAGCGCAGGAGATGCTTGCTAACAACCTGCCGCCGTCTGCATACACACGCCTACCCGGTGGTTCTTATCACTCACCACATCGAGGTCCGATCATACACATCATATCGCTACGTGTCTGGCAACTGCATATTCCAAAGATCCGGTGGAGCCTATACCGCTCCCTCACTTACGTCAACCAACAAATGTTGTATTCGGTAGTCATATATATGCGCTGCTTAACACAATGGCTATGTGCTCCGCTTCCCCATTTCTACGTCCACGTCGCCTCCGTCTCCGTCATCATCCCACTCACTTCCCTTTAATCGTTTACCCAACCAGATGCCTAGAGCTGTCGCTGCGCTTGCAGCTAAGAACCAGCCCTCAAACCACCTCTCTGTGAATTTAGGCTCTAGCGGCGCACCCAATGCATCCCCTATCTTGCTCTTCATTTCCGGTGGCAGATTGCTACGCAGTAACAGCGCCGAGCTGATGACATATGTTGCTGCAACCTGCGAGATGATGAGGGCAAAATTTGTCTTTGTGTGGTACAACAGGCCAGGCACGACTTTCGCAAACAGTAAAAATGTCTGGAAGACGCTGTTGAATGAAAGGAGTAGCATGACGCCCGAGAGTAGGAACGAAATGGTACGACTCCATGCCACTCGATCAATGGTCGGATCCCAGTGCTTTGCCAGGAGAGCGAGGACATTGTTGATTGGATCACTGCTCGAGAAGCTTGCGTTGGGAGACGAGAGGCGGCGGAGAGTACTAATGGTCGTTGCACCGATACGGTAGGCGCAATAGATTGCAAATACATAGGAGAACATGTTCAACAGTCGTCCATGTGCAGTGTGTGCGCGTAGCTGCGATTGTCGTCTGTTCTGGAGAACAGTCATTGAATTCTGTAGTGAATGACGCATTGTCTCGAGTCCCTGTATTTCCAACTGTAGAGTGCTTCGTTCCTGCACATCCGGATTGGCGCGAATCGAGCCGACCACTCGGCCCATGAAACCTTGCTGAGGATTCTCTGACAGCTTACGCTCGATTGCGCGAAGTCGACTTTCTTTGACCAAGAGCATATCGTTTGTTGCCTGGAGCCCAGCCTGTTTGCGAGCAATATCTGATTCCGTGACCTGTCGAGTTTAGTCTATCGAGCGCAATCTGCTCAGTTAACAAAAAAACTTACGGGCTTGTACCGGACACCAAACGTGTGCCACAGTGCGGATATGGCAGCAAAGCCAGCAAGGGAAGCCATCAAGCTGATTCCAATAATTCCGATTCTTTCAAGACAGCCCTCGCTAAAAGTATGAGAGTGCTGATACGATGCTTCGTGGAGGTAAGAGCCTAGAATCCCTCGTCCCAGGTACCAGAAACAGGCGAGCCAGACGGCCAAGCCGCATAGCTCCAAAGCCCATGCTGCTCTACGTCGTGATGAGCGTTCTCCCCGGAATTCCAAGCCTGTCCCTGATATGAAGGAGTGTATCTCGAAGGCTGGTGTCGCGACGACAAGGAGAAAGAGTAGCGAGGGCAGCGTGATCTTGAGAGCTAGAGTCCGAGTAGCACGATCAATGGTGTTTGAGATTTCGCATAGAATCAGTTCTACCAGCACAGCAGAAAGGGCAAAGTTGGTGGAGAATATGAGGCTTGCGAGCGAGGTTGCCGTCGGGCGCAAGGTCCGGAAGAACGAAGCTCTGTCGCGCTGGGCCAGGCTGGAAGGACGTGGGGTTTCATGCTGCGCTTTGCGGTGTGCGTGGCCCGATAGGATGGGAAACAGTTTGTGCGACACTACAAAGGCGACTCCGAGAAAGGTGAGGATGAAAGGCAAGGCGGAGATGGCGACAGCCAGAGGACTGGGTTGGCGGGCATAGTCCGGCACACACTCATCGCAGTCGTCTGGGTTTGGCGGGAACATTGGATTTGGGTGGATGCGAGTGTTAGTGCCAGTGCGTCCTGGTTATGGGGGAAGCGCGGGTATCCATCAATGACGAGCGACAATGTGGCTACGTTTACACATCAGAGGTGGTTTAGGTTTGGAGGTGCAAGCTCACCCACACCCAACTGCACTGAGGGCGTGTCCGAGTCCGAGGCGGCCACAGCCAGGAACGCGCCGGCGAGCTGTGGCACCTGCAGCCCGCAGCCACACGAAACGTCATCATGGCGATCAGGCAGGGGTCTCCCAGCCAAGCACCCCCACATGCCACTGCACTAAGTACAGTCTACTAACCGTATCACAGAGAATGCAAATCCAAGTAGTGCACGTAGTGTACACGAGTATTCCACGGCACCACAACATGGCCTTGGAGACCACAAATCAACATGGGTATTGCTAGCAAACTACGTTTCTGGTGCACCCGTTCCAGCCGGCGCCGCATCGGCAGGCCCCTCCTGAGCTCCTTTTATGAGACTGTCCACGTACGACTTGGAGCTCTCCTGCGGCTCGGGACTTTCTGCCGGCTTGGGCTCTTCGGTGCTTGCATCAGCATTCTGCGACGCCACATCTACCGTAGACACTCCAGTCGTTGTTGAGCCTTCGCCCCGCTCGTCTTCGTCCTCACTGCTGGATTGGCTGCTCAGCTCGGGGCTGTCGAGGTTCTGTAAATGTGGGCTCTTCATCATCGGACCTGGACTTCGTGGATCATCTCCAAGCAATGCATCGCTGTTGCCCGCCTCCAGCTCATCGTCGCTGCTATCTTGCGCGCGCTCAACCTGTGCCAGAGGGTGCGCTGTTTCCGCGACAGGTTTGGGTGCCGTTGCGGCCGCTCCAACTGTCGCCGCCTCGTCTTCGTTCGCAAAGAAGGTGTTTCGGGGGCTGTCATACTCTGGCAGTCTCTCACTCTTCGCAAGAAGCTCTCGGTAACCCTGCCGGTCTGGATCGTTTGTGCGCTTGCTCTTAGCCTTGTC